CGTTCTTGCGCCAATATTGAAGAAAACGACAGTTTAACCATTTTAATTTGTCCTTCTTGCATATAAAAATAATATCCCCGTCTTACTCCACGGGTGGGGCGAGATGGCGCATTTACGTATAATTTTAAAATATTAAATTTTCTTGTTTTTAAAAACGTTTTTCAAAAAATAAATTTTGTATTATATATTACCAAACGTTGCAATTGCCGAGAATAAAAAAAAATTATCGTTCTCGTTAAAGTGGTTGCCATCTTATGACTTTTCAAGCCTTAACATTCTCATCTTGCCCCACCTTCCCTTATATGGTATTGTGGTCAATGTATCGCTTATTGTTACGTCTGAAATCCGATGATTCGTCCTTAATAATTCTGTATAGACATCGGCACAAATGTGGATTCGAAAACAAATCTTATACGTCAGAGTCGAAAAATTGTCTACATCGGCAGTTCCCAACCTTTTCTACAGTATTCCTCCTCCATCGAAGCTCTCCTATAATTGCGCCTCCCTTGGCATGCGTACGAGTGTTTATTGCTCTGTATTTGGTATTTATTTTCTTTTATTACAAATTAAATGAGATTTCATTGCAAATATGAAGCAAAAATACAATTTCACTATTAAAAACTAGATATACTTACCTACACACTTTGCACAAACAAAATGGGTAATATCTGTATACCGGGAGTTTATTCCTTCTGAACAAAGTTATAATAATGTAAATTAAAATAATGTTTTGCATATTTTCATAAACTATAAACATCAATGTGAAAATTGAACTTGTTTTGAATTGCACAAACGATCGACGTTTGGTTCTAACTTTGCGCGGATCATTTCCACATTAAACCGTGAAACTATTATTTGACAGTAGAATAGTTCTTAATGCCTTCGCAGCTCCATCTCCATTTATAATGCAACACATTTCTACAGTTGCCAGAAGCAACAAATTCTCGGCAATAGTATGCGATTTCTTTCTTACATTTAGCGATTTTCATAGTCGCTATATAAGAAGCTTCCAACGCTTTGAGATATCGTGACATCTTTTGACATTAGTCTTCTGCCAACTCTTTTCGAATAAAAAACTTAAGTACATAATCTGCGTGCACCGTTTCCAGATGTCTTTCGAACTTCGCACGTCAAAGGCTGTCATTGGCGAGAACTTGGAAAAGAAATGACACGCCGAGGCTGTCGAATGTCGGAATTGCTACGAAAACAAGAAAATCCGAACTTAACGTAACTTGCGTCATATTGTCTGCGCTTTTTCTTTCGTTTATCGGGGGTTATACTCAGGGGCGCCGCTAGCAGTTTGAACGCCCGTGTGCAATACCGATTATGCCGCCCCCTGTTTAACTATGATTACCTACGCTGAGCTTGCCAGAAAGGCTCTTTAGTGTTGACTCATAAGGGTGTGAAAAAAGAAAAGAAATACTTTACAAAGAAAATCTATTTATTATTACTAAGTTATTTTTGTTTACTTAAGTGTAAAACCATATAAATATTTATCTATAGAAAATGAACTTCTCTTGCCTTTATGCTTGCGAATCTGCTATCAATTTTCATGTATCCAAGCAGTCTAAGATTTCATATTCAATTGAAAATATAGCTAAATTACTTAATCTTTGCTGGTGTGTTGTTGATCTTAAATTGTTTTTTTATAATTTTAACTTTGAAAAGGACCTTTCACCAAATGCAACCGAAACCGGCAATGTAAGTAATATTCCATTGCTATTTCTGTGTTCGGAAATGTTGAAATTAAGTCATTAGTAAAAAGATATTGTAATAAGGTTTGTGGATCATTAGACTTGTTTTCTGGAAAATGCAACTTTAAAGTATTGATTTCATTAAACAAATCAATACCGTCAATGTCTGTTTCACTACACGAATCGTCTTTAAGCTTCAGATTTAAATCCTAACCAAGTTAAAAGATCATTAATTAAACTTACTTGTTAGACCCATGTCAGAAGAATTATTAACAAAATAATTGCAATTTGATATGCGATAGAACTGTTCGAATGCGTACAAGTACAAATTGAGAAGGATGCTCTGTAGGGATTCCTAATTTCTCCAGTCCTGTCAACTTCTGTAATAGAGCATGACTATGAGTACTTGGCTTTCGGGCGCCGCCGGATGGTTCAACCTGGCTACACACGTTTCGCATTGCATCTTAATTCTGATAAATGCCAATAGAGGCGCTGTTAACGCTATAATATAAATAAGAATATAGTAATTGCGCGCCGGTCGGATTTTTTCTCCATGTGAAGACATTTCTTATGCTATAAGTAGGGCGGGTATTGGGACAATGACTTTGAATATTACGTGACCGATCGCTTGATTTGCCGCCCCCTGGACGTGCCGCCCGCGTGCGGTGCACACCCGCTTACGGCGGGCCTGGTTATACTTGTGTCGTCAGTGGTAATCCTGCTACTGTTGCCAGGTTCACTTTGGATTGCAGATTTTGCATTACTCATAGTTCTCTTCAAACAGCAGTGCATTCTAAATATCAAGACAATTGGTTTTGTTTAGGATAAACTAACAGTTTAAAAATTGAAGAGACGATTCAGAAAATATTTGCAGAACTAAAATGTTCTGCAAATATTTTCTGAATCGTCTCTTCAATGTCGGGGGACCCACGAACTATTTTCGGACAAAGGAGAAAGGTTTGCCAAAAGTACATTATTGTATACGATAAGGAGGTGAAGAATCAAAAGTAGCTCAGAAATTCTAATGTAATTAATCGATAACCCCAAACTAACTATACAACTATTAAAATGCAAATGTTTTTTTCAAATCTTAAAAGAAAATCTTAGAAAGAAGCATTTCTATTGCCTCCCTTAATGTTTCCGTATCAGAATAATAATTTACCCGACTCAAAAACGTGAAATTTCGGTTAATTGACCGATAACCTTTCTAATTCTCTCCTTTGTATAACTGCAAACGCCACCTAGATTAGATTTTAGATGCACTTTATATGCTTAGTTAGCTTGCATATCTTTATATCTTTGCCATAAAGTATTTGTGAGGACCCGAACAGGGGTCGATTGAGAGGTCCGAATGAAGGGTATAGATCGGAAATTTAAAGTGCTCCTTTTCAGACGCGAATGGAAAGGATTAGGTGTCTCGATTGAACAATGCAATTTTTTTTTAAAATTCCTTAAACGGAAAGGAATAAAGTCGAGAAAACTCGACGAGAGAGAGGAATCAAATTCAGTCGCAACGTTGACCTCTCCCGCGCCCTCCATTAGGTTTCGAATGTTCACCAGGTGACAAGAGAGAACAATGGAGAGGCGACTGAGGTTAACAAATCTATAAAACCGAGCGATTCAAGTTACAAAAGTTATTGGTTCATAGTCTTATCCTCCTGGACGTGTGACGTGTGTCCCCGCCGAATCTTGGGAAAGAACGTTTCGGATCTAGTGGAAGCAACCTCAATGTGACCTCCAGGCTCGTCGGTTCGTCCGAGAAAAACCACTTGAAGCAGTGCCATTCGCCGCGGGGCCGATGATTATTTCACAGTCTTCGCCGAACTGTAGAAAATGGAAACGAACTTTTCGAACTCTACTTGAACTTTATCCTCGTGCTTCGTGGTGTGATAATCCGTCAATCAAGAAAATATTGTAAAAAATTATAATTTTATTAAACGGTTTTATATGGTAAACCTGTCTCGGTGAGCCATTCTGCGCCCACACGACAGTATTGACCGCTCGGCTGTCGAAAACTCCTCACCCCAATCGGCTAACATCACATATTTGCCACTACCTCGAAACACTCGAAAGTAGAATTAGACCTTTAGCAGCTTTCCATCAGACAGAATAAACCGTCTATAGAGTGCGTGATATTAATATGCCTTTTTAAAGTGGCACATTTCGTAGTCAGATCAGAAGCCTTTTCCACAAACGGAGCGGAGCGGGTGAATATCCGAATTCAAATTTAGATCCTTCGAGATGGCCGTACGATCCAAAGCTGTATTAAGTGTCGCGTGACTATTGGCTACAAAAACATTACGTCTGTATTCAACCGTTGAGCTTTAACGCATAATAAACGGTAAGGCACTTGCGTGCAGATCTTCATGTGTTTTCCACGCGAAACTTTTGAACCTCCACTCCTAGACCCATGTTAAAAACTTACTGCCTTCAACCGCACTAATTTCCACCACGCCACACTCTTCCGTTATCCGAACCAGAAAAACCACTCGGAGACTTTGTTTTCTTTTATGTTTATTTTCAACGTGATTGGTCAATTTTCCGTCCGAAAGCGGCTTTCGTCACAGTCGACGTCGACCACCGATTCCGATGGATCGAGAGTAAAAGGAAAAGAAGAGAAAATATACCGATCTAAATGGAATGTAAATATGCGGAAATCATCGATTTCGACGGCCGGCGTGATCGTTCGGTCCAAAACATTTGGCTTCCACACCACCTCTTCTGCCCCCGGGGCCCGGGCGGAGCTCGGGCGGCGAGGACCAGAAGACCCGGAGGGTGGATCCGGAGCTCGGGTGGTCTAGGAGAAAGAACGGGTCCGTCTCTACCTAATCGATTCACTCTTTGAAAAATAACGGCTCTGGGAAAGACGAGACCAGACGGAAGGGAATCAAGAGAAGAAAAAGTTTAAGGCTCGGTTGACGTCGTAGTCGGCTGCCAGAGAAATTCGCACCAATTCTTCTCCGGGAACCGCCTGTCCCACGATGTCGCGCAGCTGGGCCACGCAGGCCTCCAGTCGGGCCGAGTCCTGAGTCAGAGGCAGATCTTCTAAAGAGCTCGAATCCGACGCCGCATCGCCCTGAAAAGACATCAAATTCCTTCTTAGAAACAATAATTAAATCCCACAAAACTATTCACTAACCAACGATTCGTAAAACAAATTAAAAACAAAGTTCGGGGTTAACTCGACGTCGATACTCTTTGCTTCCGACCCACTGAATTTCGTACCCGTCTTCGCTACCACGCTGTTACTCAAACCGTGGTTCGCGGACATGTGCTGACCCGTTTTATAATTATTTTTTATTTAATATCGCAAAAATATTGGTAAAAAACAAAACTGGTCCGTAACGTAAAAGGTTCGAGAAGCGCTGCACTAATATGTGTTGTGTCTATTGTTTGAAATAAAACATTTTACAGTAGAGCGTCGTTTATCCGAAAGAATTCCAGTCGGCAAATTTAAATTTTTGCTAGTGCTGTGGCGCTGCAATCTTTGGCTATGTCTTGGGCTACTCAAATATTTTACGTATTTGATACTAAATTAACTTCTCAAGTATAATTTTTTTATTGTTTTTATATTTTTCAATATATTTATNTAATACTTCTTAATTTTTATTTAAAGCTTAACCTTGTACATTTTATAATTAAATGAAAATAGAAATAGCATACTTAATTTAAAATAAACAGAATGATGAAAAAAATTATTAAAATTGTGACAAAATTATCATTTTTTTTCCTCCGTTTTTAACGTTTTATACTGATGATGAGTCTGAAACGCACAATTATGTATACATTTGATAATAAAATTAAAATCTATTATTTTAGTGAATAACTTAGTATTATTTTTCCTCCGTTTTTAACGTTTTATACTGATGATGAGTCTGAAACGCACAATTATGTATACATTTGTAAATAAAATTAAAATCTATTAATGTACATAATATCCACTATTGAATAATTAAAATCTATTTTAATTTTAGTAAGTGTGCGTGTGTGTTGACGTCTATTTCGCTTAATATCTCGGGATGAAGTAAATATTAAGTAAGGAAATTTGGCACGGTAGCTTGTATGCGAGGGGCATTGATGCTATTAAATTTTGGTGGTGAAAGATCAAGAGGATGGGGAGATAAAGGACGGTCGTGTATCTCAAGAGGAGCAGGAGTTAATGAATATTTTATTCATTATTAACATTTTCACTCTTATAAAACTCATCCCTACTCTCAAAATTAAGATTTTTGCCATTTTATAGTAATTAAAAGTTTATAAAGCTTTTATAACAAAATCTGATAACAGATGGCACCACACACAATTTTCTTTTTTTTGCTTAATAATATAAAAGTTCTTTTTTTTTTTTTAACTAAAATCTCATAATAGCCAGGAAAGTTATTCAGCTCTTGTTGATGGTTTTTTTTAAGTGTGTAAGTAGACTTTTGTGACTAACTAACTATCATTTCAAGATGATAAAAAGAGTGAGAGAAAAAGATTCAATAGTTAAAAAAATCTCTTCTTAACTCTATTTACAGAAATTTATTTACAATTTTATTAGAGTTAATTAGATATTTTTGAAAATTGGCAAAAAAATTTAGATAGATACAAACTAATATTAAATTATTTATAGTATTATTAAAAACTGGTTAAGCAGTAACACATCTACATTAAACCTTTAAGTTCAGCAATAACAAATTTAAGAGAGCTAAAAATATTTACATAAAAAAAGATACTGTACAAACCTTGTAGGAAGTAGGTCCCAGTGGATTTGGCTAAATCTTTGGTATTTTGTAGTTCAGTGGTCGTGATCAAACAACACTGTAGGCACAGTAAAAAAATGGACAGATTTTTGAATTATCAAGTATCCAAGATACAAAAACAGCATAATTTGTGTATGTGTAAAGCCATAAATCTTTTTCATTTAAAAAGTATAAAATGTTATGTCCCAACATAGTTCCTTTTCAACTGTTTTCAAGTCTCAGAAAAGTGAGTCTCCTGCAAGAAAGGCAAAAAAATGAATTTACAATGAATATGCATTTCAGGCTCTATGCCCCTCTTCAGTTCTTATTTTATTATGTAAACTGGTAAAATTATATAAGAAATTACAGAATGTGTTTAATATATTTTTTCCTAACTGCTCTTCCAGTATATTTCTCTTTTTGTATAAAACTTCTAATTCATTCTGTATTGACTTCTTTTCCAAACTTATTTCAAACATCAATACATATTTATTCAGCAAATAAATTAGGATAAAACTTAGCATCTTTAAAGATTTTTCTTAGGTAGTTACAGTAGGCAGCTAAAATAAGGTGACCAGGCGTCCCACTTTTTAACAATTTGTCCTGCATCCCACAGCGTTTTAAAGTCCCAACTTTTTGGAAGGATTAAATTTTTGTCAATTATGTGTCATAAACTTACGTCTTATGTTCAAGATTCAGTAAAGATCATTTTGTATTGTGGCTGTACCCATATTTAGTGTTGCCGTCTTTTCAAAATTGCTGACCCGGACAGCAGGTGAGGTTAGTTCGAACAGGAGTTCCTGACGCATGTGCAATGTCATTTTGCAATGCGAAGAATAGCATGCAGTGCATGGCAGTTCTAAATCAGTTACAGTTAGGGACTACGGAGACTTCGGTAGGAGTAATGTAAGTAACTAAATTAAGAAAAAACAACTACTGATGACTTATTGGATATTGGAGACATGTACAAATGCAAATTGTACAAGCAAAAAAAAAAGAACGGAAAAAAAAAGGTTTACAGGTTGTGCACGATATTCCCAGACAAAATTAATAGTTCACCCAACAGTGAGTTGATTCCTGGACTGTCCGGGTGAAAACCGGACATGTGGTAACACTAGCCATATTAGATATATATTTTATTCTAATTTTTGTATATTTTCCTTTGTTTCGTCTATTGCTTGTCCCTTGTAGAAATTTCCTTCCCAACCTTCCTTCTTGGGT